TTTACCGCCTCAATTTAGTGGGGCTCAAGTCCTCCGTCAGAATTTGGCTCGACATTGGCGTGCTCAGCGGTGCCAACCCATTGAAGACTCATAGTATCTAGCCCCAACGGATTCCGTAAAGCCTCGGAGTATGGAGCCGTCCGAGCGTTGTATCATATCTTGTTGGCGCCCAGCCGCTGGCATCTCGCCAAGGAGCATAATTCGGCTTCTGTCACGCTTGTTCTAATTTGATCGTGAAGTGTTCATATATCTATGATAATTTTCTATCCCCATTTGAACGGTGTTACGTGAGGACATTGAGTGGTTCGATTGAGGGGGGGTCCAGGCATTCTATAAAACGAACGGACTTCGCCCGATAGATCTGACGAGTGTCACCAGCTCGGAACGACTAAAGCGACAAGAAGGGCACATAACCATTGAGTCTGTATCGAGATCGCGTTGAGTATGCGGTACAGCATTCACTTGTTATCAGAGCTTGCGAGCAGCAGCCCTCCTTTTGCGAGAGGGGGGATTGGTGGCCCCTGTAGACGGGCTAGTAGGGGTTGCTTCTGCCATTGAGAGATATGGAGCAGACGAGGCACCGAGAGTGAGAGTGAGCTATTGAGAGTGACTTTTTACATGTAATGCAATAAATAAATAGACTGTGGGAGAGGGATAACGCGCAACTTAGTGATTTTTGCGCCCTTTTTCCCTGTTCAGTGGCCTGGTGCACAATTGCCTCTTTTGATCCTCTCCTGTCCTCTTCAGTCTCTTTCAGTACCGAGCTCCCCACAGAAGTCCGTCAAAGTAAATCGTTTTGTTCGTTTTCTAATCGCCTGCATCCGAGATGAGAAACAATTAGACTGGGTTCCGTCTTGTTTGACTGCGTTTCCCCCCCTCAAACTGGAAGCTTACAGTCACCGATCGTATCTACCATTCAGTGGACAGTCATTATCATTCAATAAACCACCCTTTAGCGACATCAAGGATACTGAAGGCCCTTCAAAAGCCTAATTTCCGTCCCGTTCCTCATAAAGCTCAAGTCGCCGTTCCACTCACTGTTCCTTTTCCCTTTGACTCCCCAGACTAATGGCTTTCCAATCCGACTTCCAACATCCATACGCGAACTATGCTACACAGTCCTACATGGACCACCATCGTATGTATCCTCCTCCCTCTCCGCCGTCGCGAGCCTCTTATCATTTTCCAGACTCAAATTCCCCAGTCTCGCCCCCACCTTTCACCAACCAGGAGAGAACGTCGGTCCCACAATCACCCTCCTCGTTCATCTACAAGAACACGCACTCGACAAACTATCCCGTCCAGCCGGGCGTCTATCGTGAGTGGCAATTGCGCAAATGTCGAAAAGGCGGCGCAAGCCTCTGACCCTCGCGGCCCATTTGCAGCGAGCGATAATGTCAACCATACGTATCAACAGCAAT